ATGTTTGCGAGTATATGTTATGATTAGCCCTTTGAAAACTGTTTAAAGCATTGACTTGTTCATGGAGACATTCCTTAAAAGAAGGCAAAGTTAGACAGTCATTGGTTGAGTTGTTCATTTGTTTCACAGATTTGACACACAATGTCTTTAACAGTTTTTAATTAACCACTCTTTTTTAATTCTAGTGCCTTAACTTTTCTAGTTAAAGATGCAAACTCGGCTTAAAGGTCATGATCTTCCTTAAGGTTATACATACCTCCACTAGATGTATGAAGTTGAGTTTTACTTGATGCCTTATAAGTACTTGTAGTGTCCCAATTTTAAGCATTTTCAACTAACACGTCTAAGTACTCCATTGCTTCATCAGGGTTTTTATCTTTAAAAGTTCCATTACATATCAATTCAATCATTTACCTATCTTTAGGTGTTAACTCTTCATAAAAATGTGAAACTAATCTTGATGATTCAAAACCATGATAAGGGCAAATATTAAGCAAGTCTCGATATCTATCTCAACATTGATAAAATCTTTCTCCTAGTTTTTTAGTGAAGGTTGTGATTTATTTTTTAAAAGAGTTTGTTCTATGAAGGGATGAGTTTTTCATTGATGGTTGTGGCAGCATTGATTGTGATAATGGGTCAGTGTGTAGAGTCGATGGTAGATGTGGTGATGGTTGCCATTTGCAGGAAGTAGAGAAAGAAGAATAGCAGGAAGGATGAATACTTGTTAGAGATTTTTAGGCACTGATACCATATAGAAACTTATACTTTAGTATTATGTAATGCAACACACGCTTCCTATTCATTTGTTATAACATTTATACAGTATTGAGAGCTTGACTTTTGAATTCAAATGTGTGTAACAGAAGGATATTTACAATCAGAATTAATAACAATATTTCAAATGGATCCTATAATTATGGAGAGCACAAAATCTGGCATAACTCATGGTAACAGTTGTGTTTGAATTTGTTATGATTTGATTTCAACAAATTCCTTGATATTATATAGCCTAAACTGAAACCAAAAAGTAACATAGTATGACTAATTCAATCAAACAATCATCCCTTAACAATAGGGATTTATTAAGTATGTGGTAAGAAACCACTGACAATTGTATAATATTTAGACTGAAGAATTAATTTTGACTCCGGTAAATAGAGAATCGAATAGTTTCATCTCATGCTCCTTCAAGACTAAACCAACTTCAACTTCACCACCTCCATCTTTGCTCTCCATAATAGAAAAGGCACCAGTTCTAGCTATTGTCATAACCTGCACATTGCTTGGCTTTTCCCATCCAAAATCTGCCCTATACATCCCAAATCAGTTTGTCCCAACAGCTCGAACCGTTTGAGTAAATTTCTCCCAATTAGTGTATGGTATCCTTTCCTTTGCTCCCTCGAGAACTGATCTATTCTCTAATCCTTTTATCATCTCAGTAAGCCTCTTCACAACATACGCAACCCCCATTCTCTTTTTATTTTTGCACTTCCTGTATGGACACCTAATACCATTATCAATAAAATTATTTAGGATAAATGTTGTGAAATTAATAAAACCTTAAACCCCGTTATAATAATCCATCCTCTACAATCCTTGGGGTGAATCCCATATATCCATGAACAATCATCCATAACTTCTATCAAACCTCTATAAAATTATAATAAGAACATGTATTAATTAACTATATTATGTAAATAAATTTATAAAAATATTGGTTTGCCCCGACATTATCTAACAAACTAAAAAAACCCTTATGTTAAATATTCATTATCAATTATCAACGTTCATATAAATTTATACATATATAAATTTATGAAAATCACAACTTTGCAATAGAATTGATAAAAATTAAAAAGGACCCGTTAAACAAGATATTACTTTTTTCATCACAACATATCTAATTCGATGTAATTCAAACAAAGTTTCAACAATTTACAAAAAAAAAATACAATTTGAAAAAATCTAAAACAAACTATAACAACAAAATTACACATTCATACTACAAGTTTCTTTGATAAATAATATTCAAACAAGTACATGTGTTAACAAAAGTATACATATACTAAAAAAACAATCAAAAATAATAAAATTGATATTTAAATGTTAAAACTAAAAATGATAGATTTATTTACAAAAAATAATAAAATTCATAATAAATTGATCGGAGAACTGATGTTATGACCATGTACAAAAGTATAAGAAACTTGAGTGATTGTGTTGAGAAGAGGGGGAGAGTTTGGATGGGTGGTTGGCTATAGTTTGGGAGAGGAGAGTTTGGATGGGGAAGAAGGAGAAATAGAGGAAAAGAGTGTTGGCAAAGTGGGTATATATTAACTTTTACTAATGGAATCACCGAAAGAACATTTCCGTCGATATACCTGTCAGTAAGTACGCCAACAACTATGCCACATCATTGTACGGTAGTCCTAATTTGAATCCCTCGGTTCTTTAGTCGGTAAAATCATCTAAAACAATCTCCATCACATCATTTCAACTTTTTTAAAAAACTATGTTTGTTGGTATATACCAACTGTATCACCAACAAAATTTATCTGTTGATATATACAGATAAAAGTAGAGATAAAATTATTTATGTTAGTAATTCCGTTAATTTTCCTTGATTTTCTTGTAGTGAAACTTTTACCAATAAGATTGGTAATCTTATACTGACGAAAAATGTTATAGTGAATCCTCTGCCCTGCCATGTTGTAGTATTCAGCACCTTCAACACCTTATCTTAGTACGTAGTAGATAATCAGATTTCCACAACAAGTAGCAAATAAAATTACATTAATAACTCCAAAAGTCTTAGAAATTGAAGCACAGCATAAATATTAGAGGAAAAAAAGAGAGTATAAGCATGTCTTAGAGAGGTATATACACGATTACAGTTCACATTTTAAGGCCACTGGTTGTTAAGAACAGAAAAACTTATGAAGAAGATATATAATGCAGCTGGGAGAAATCTCTTGTTCCATTGAACAAACTTGGCTATTATATAGCCTTGACTGAAACCAAAGAGTAACATGGTACGACTAATTCAATCAAACAATCATCCCTTAACAATAGAGATTTATTGACTATGTGGTAAGAAACCACTGACAACAGTCTAATATTTAGACTGAAGAATTTTAACTCTGGTAAATAGAGAACCGAATAGTTTCATCTCATGCTTCTTCAAGACTAAACCAACTTCAACTCCACCACCTCCATCTTTGCTCTCCATAATAGTAAAGGCACCAGTTCTAGCTATTGCCGTAACCTCCACATTGCTTGGCTTCCCCCATCCAAAATCTGCCCCATACATCCCAAATCGGTTTGTCCCAACAGCTCGAACCGTTTGAGTAAATTTCTCCCAATCAGTGTATGGTATCCTCTCCTTTGCTCCCTCGAGAACTGATCTATTCTCTAATCCTTTTATCATCTCAGCAAGCCTCTTCGCAACATACGCAACCCCATTCTCTTTCATGAGATCTTCTCTTTCCACAACCACATCAAAGGAGCTAACACAATTACCAATATAATTCTTAGGTAATGGAGGGTTTAAATGGGCTCTACAATCTACCGGAATCACAATCTTAACCTTATCATTACTATTTGTGCCTTTTGCTTCAAGCATGCAAACCATTGTATATGCATATACAAGCACGTAGGTCGACAAATATAGTGGCTTTGTTTGATTTGCTTCTTCTTTAGATCCAAGCTTATCAAGTTGAGAGCTTATCATTTTCCGAAGCTTCTGTATGTCTTCACGAGAAAGTTCGAACGTTGTCCTTACCAAGTTTTGTGGTATTTCTGAAAGCGGAAAAGGCTTCAAACTCCTAGGATTGTTATCAGAACCTGGAGATTTGACTCCCAGCCAGAATTTCAAGTACCACATGTCTAACCCTTCTGGATCCTGAACAACTGTTCGATTGAAAAACGGGGTTAATTCTTCCGGTAACAAGCTAGGGTTTTCCATATTTTCATCGACTGACTGTTTGCAAATGCGAGCCCATGCATTCATGAAGAAGGATGTGCTCAAGCCATCAAGAACAGCATGGTTACTGGTGTGGCCGATGCAAAAACCTTTATTTGGAAATAAAGTGATCTGAATAGCAAGTGTAGATGCTATAGTATCAGATATCGATATATCTGGCACATAAGGCTGTGACTCAATAGCATCATGTACTTCACTACAGAGATGGTCAAAGTCTGCACTGGACTCGGCAACTGTAAGTTTAATACCATCATCTGGAGTATTGTATGTGATGATGGGTTTGATGGAATTTGGAGGCCAAGTGAGGTTACCGGCAAGAGGACGGAAGTGGGAAAAGTTAAAGAGAGTGAGTGCTTGACCTTGGGAAGAATTACGGAGTTAAAGAAAGTAGGTGTTAACTCGGCGAGTTTATAGAAAAAGATGCCTTGAACTGGAGGGAATTTGAGGTTGAAGATATCAGAGAAGATGAGAGGCAGAGATAGTTCGGTGCTTGACTCGGGTGAGGTAGACGACGGGCTAACATGGCAGATCTCGAGTACATTTACTGGCTTGGTTGATGCCATGACACTTAACAAAGGAGAGATGGATGTAGAGAGAGAACAGAACAAGTTTGGAAATCGAATACCCTCTCCGAAGAGAATGATTAATTTATAACCTTTTGAAATAAAGTACCTTTAATTTTTTAAGGAGGAAAATCAATAGATAAAGTTGAAGTTATGTATTTGCGATTTTGTAAAGCATTTTATACACAGGAATTGCATAATAAATGAAAAAACAAAAAGGTTGCTACATAAATAAGAAAATTAGTTCTGGGGCAAGAAGATATCATTAGTGAATTTAGTTGTGTTTTCTTAATCATTGAGAATAATAAAAAATAATAATTCAACGTCATCTTACACCACTTGTAATAAACGTTAAGATAATTGAAAACGGTTTATTCATTTTCTATTTTAAAGAAAACAAGTTATTTTATTTAAAAAATGGTTTTTGTAAAACAATTTTCCAATAAGAATCAAAAAAATAATATTTTGATTATTTTTATGGGACTATTAAAGAAAAATAATATAAAAGAGCGAACTATATATTAAATATATATTTTAATCTCTTTGAATATTTATATGCAATTTCTTTTGAAAAATTATGTAAATTGGTTTCATATATAATTATTAAGAATTTACAAATAATATCATAAAAACTCTAATTTTATTTAAAAAACACAACATAATCAGATGATTTTTTTAATATTATTGTAATTATTTATTTAAATAGGATTTCACTAGTATTTGGAACTTGGAAGTTTTCTAGTTTCAGAAACGACTTTAAATTGTTTCCTAAATTTACACTAGCACCCTTACAAAGAAAGCGTGATTACTAAATACATAATAAAAGGTGAATTTGTTTCATTATGTATTAACCAAATGAGCTCCCGCTAGGTTATGTTTGTTCGTAAAAGAGTCAACTTTATTATAAAATAAGTACTCAGAATTAGAAAGGTTAGCGAAACCCCAACTTAAGTATTTAAAATTAAAATTACTCACGTCTAAAAAATAACTAAACATAAAATCATTCACTTTCTAAAATTCTTCCAAATAGTTAATTATTTTTTTTTTCAAGCATATATTGCCAATTTAGTTATATCATTTTAATTAGGATTTTTTACATAGGAAAACAGTAGAAATTTTTTTACAATAAATATATAATTTGAATTGTTTTTGAAGAATTAAAGTTCCATATTCTCCTATACTACATGGCATATAATTCAAAAATACGTCAAAATCATTCAATCTTTGTTAAAAATCTTGTCTCATAGACACATTAAGTTAATTGTTTTTTCTTTTTTCCAAATGACGTTAATTTTATTAATTTTATTTTTTCTATAATGTAAGTAATATGAGAATTAAATTTGTAAGATAATTAAGTTCTTTTCATTTAAATTTTCTTATAATTTATTAAATTATAAAAAAAATGCATAAAACATATGCACATACTAAATTAAAGCATATATATTATATGAAAAACGCATGATTGCTTGTATTAAAAATGAAAACATTATCTTCAGAGGATTGCTCGGTGGTTAAGAAGGTTTGCTACATTACTAAATTTCTTGAGTTTAAATATGATAATCAGGATTGCTTGGTGATTAAAAAGGCTTGCTACATTATTAAATTTCTTGAGTTCAAATTTGATAATCAATATTCAAGATCAATTATTAAATTTCTCTTAATATAAAAAGTACATCTTTAAAATATGCAAGGAAGAGATTTATTCTCGATTAATATATAAGCTAGTTTAAAATTACCTCTTATCATCAAATAAAAACATATATTACAAGTGAAGAAAAGTGACACAGTCATATATAGAAATAAGGTTCATTTGAGATACAATAAGATCTGTGATACTGATTTTTTATTGGAGTTTAAGATAAAATATTCTCAGTTGTTGAATATTCCTCCCACCAAAGAAATAAGGTTTGAAAGTTTGTTAGAGATTGTGAAATCCAAATGCAAAAGTGATGTCAAGATATTATAATTTTTAAACCTAGTTTGATTTAAGATTTAGATTCTAGGTTTTAATTAGTTCATTCAAATTATTATTTGTTTAATTAAAATAATATTATTTTAATTAAAAAAATTAATGAATTACAATTAGTTTTTTTGACCAGATCTTACAAAATTAATTGAATTGTCAAATTAACTAGATCATCTAAAAATATTTATTTTTTTTAAAACCAGCCTAATTCAAGTCAAGTGAGCTAGATTTCAGTTAAAATTAGCCCTATAAAATGGAAAAATAAAAATAAATATCACTCTCCTCGATTATTATTTTCATGTAATACAAAATCAAGTTTTGTCATGGTTGAATTACAGGTATGACCATAAAGTACTATAAAAAAATGTTTTTTTCACGTGAAGATATTCAAAAAAAACAAGCCAGCATCATTATAAAAAAGTACTTTCTCTGTATTGATGTGACTTTTGCAGTTATAATTTTATAAAATAGATTAAAGAACCAGACTTTTATGAATAAAAAGCACGCAGAGATTAAAATGGTAAGGTAATTTCAAGGTGTTTTAGGCTTACTAATGGAGACACTATCAAAGCCCCTCCTCTTTTTTTTTTTTTTTTCTTTACGTGGGATGTCCGGGGCAGCTTGCGCGCACCACGACTAATCCTCACGGCCTACTGAATACCCTGCAAACCCAGCTGGCAGGTAAGGCAGCGCGGGACTGACAAGTATGCAACTCCAAGGCTCGAACCCTTGACAGCGGAAGGCGCAAGACGCCTGCCACCGCTGGGCCAATGCCCCCTCCTTTTGACATGACAAGAGGTGGTAAAATAACCATAATTTCTGCTAGGTTTCTTTGATTGACATGGAGTCACTGTCAAGGTCTCTGAGGAGAACACAAATTCTCTACTCAAGCTTTATGGCCTCACTATCATTTGGGATCAATGGGAAACAAGAAAAGAAAAGAAAAGGGAGAAAGTTGAAGAGAATTGTTTTAATTTTATTATGGTAATTTGCCTTAAATCTGAGAGAAGGAAGGAAAGATAGAAAATTGAGGAGAATTATTTTAATTTGGTGGGAGTTGTTTATGAGGAATAAATTGATCAAATGACATTATTAATTTACAGGCGAGTCTATAATTTATAGGAAACTACAACTAAAACAGGATGAAGGTTCTCCACGATGCTCATGCCTTTTATTTGTACTTACAGGTCATTAATTCTTTTGTGAACAAGACAATTTACATCACCGATCCGTCGCAATCATTATTAATGTTACTTTTTGCGCCCGCCGGTCAACACATGGTGGTGGCCGGCGTACTCAACAGCTTTGGGACTTTAATAATTTAAGTCTAGATGCTTACGGACCTAGTAAGCCAGACACTTGGATCTAGCAAATATGTTAGGATCACATTATTTTTAACTTGACAGTCTATCAAGTCGAATCACTTTAGACATGATTGATGCTAAGTCCAAGCATCTCTGATATGAAAAAATATCAAACATAAGCAACTTGGGTCTAATAATCATATCAAACTCAATTTGAGTTCAACAACTATAACAAACCTTCTTATTTTTGTTACAATGGAAAGCATAATTTTTTAAGATGAGAGAGGGGATAGAGAGAAAAACCCTCGCGGGAGCTCCTCTATGGACAACCTCAATACACGTGCATTGCCACTATATCTAGGGTGGCGAGGCGTATTGAATGTTGCCTCGTAAGGTATTACTCGATTTCGTTTTAGGGTAGCACACTCCACTCAAATGGAAATAATAATTTATATACATACGGATACTCAATTGCCCCTGATATTACATGATATTTACAATAAAACATATGAAAACGATGAAAACACCCCTACATATAACCTTGTTATTATTGAAACCTAAGGGTAATTTCATATTTGAATTGATTCAATTAAAGAAAAAGACAGAGAAACCCCTCAACACAAGCATATCTCCCTCTAAAGGCATAGTTGTATCTTAACTGTTTATTTTTCTAAAATAAAATAAAAACCCTTAACCTAAAAGTTAAAATTGTATGTCCTGAAGGACAAATCAATATCTATACTATAGCCCAAAAAACTTAAATGGACTATTTTATCTCCTATCATTTTTTTCAATGCCAAATAGATCCTATGAAAAAGACAATCATATCCCCAATTGCATGCTTATAAGATTTTTGTTGGCAAGAACAATTCTATCATTACATTGCTCTAATCTACAGTAATTTGTGTCTAAGTAAATAATGAAAGGGATACTTAGCTCTTTTAGTTTTTGTTATAATTACCTATTTTTCTATTTTTGTGGCCAGTTTTTCAACAAAAAAACATATAGGTGTTTTTATACATTAAACATAAATTAAAAAATATTATCTATGCATCTAATTAATTAAATTAAAAATTATTTATGCTAATAAATAAAAAAGAATCATTAATGATAACTAAATATGTATCTTCAAAATTTGAGAATGAGAAATAGATGAATATATTTGATCTCGCAACATGGATCATTTATTCGACTGTATTCAATGACTCTATTTATTAAAATTATTTTTAATTTAATTAAATAATAGTAGAAATAAATACACACATAACATTGTTGCACTTATTAGAAATATCATCCAAATATAAATATTTTTTTATTTTTTAAAATAAAGTTCAATTATATAACACATAAAACAATACAGATGAATTACAATAATTTCTTCAAAAAATAATTTAAAAAACACTATTTAAAAAGACTAAATAAAAAAAGTCAAAGATGGGGTATTAATTTAAATATAAATTAAAAAATTATTTAAAAAACACATAAAAAAACATGATTTTTTTTAAAAAAATTACAAATTACAAGAAAAAAAGTCAGGTGCTATCGAGCTCTATTTGTTTAAAATGCAATTGGGGTGGATGACTACCCTAATATTTTTTGAAAAAAAGTTTCAAATGATACATTATTTGGTTTCTCCATATTTCGATGATTATGGTGGTTGTACAATCCATTTTAAACATTTTTTTTTTATCTAAAACATCTAAAACAAATTCTTAAACATCTTGATAAACAAAACAAATGAACTTAAATAACCTAAAAAACCACCCAGAAAACAAGAAATCAACTTGAAACAAAAAAATTTCCAAACTTAGATCTAGTTTTTTAGGTATTATTAAGGTTTAAAAAAAACATCTAAGTGAAATTATCCTTACCAAATAGAACTCATTGACACAATAATCGACTATTTTAGCTACTTAAATCGATATCAATTTTGATTTTCTCTCTTTATCATTAGAATTCAGCAATCTGTCTCCCCTCTAAAATTAAATAAATAAATTATTATACTAAAATTAAATTGCTAAAACATTTAGGGACCAAAACAATATGATTTAGAAAGTTTAAGGACTAAATTGAACTTTGCATGATAATTGTGGACCCACCATCTATTTTTAGTGCCTTTTTCACATTGGTTTCATATTGGTCCTTCTTCTTTCAATTTTGTCCTTGTTCAACAAATTTGAATCAATTATCCTTTTATTTGGCCCCAAAAGGATGTAATTGTGAAAATATAAAATTTGATGGCGAACATTGTTTATATACAATTAAATCCTCACAATTTTTAGTGTTTTCTATAATTTGGATAAATTTTTATCTAAAAAAAACTTTAAAAAATATATTGATATACATCACAAAACTAATACGTAAAGATTTTCATGAAAGACTAGTAATATGTTATTTTAAAAAAAAAAATACGAGTAATTGGCTTTTTTTTTAATTGTTTTCTTATATATATATATATATATTATATTAGACTATTATACCACAACAGCGTGAATTATGTTCCTAATTAGTATAACTTATTTTTTAAGTTTACTATTGTCTATAAAAAAAAAGGTACTCTCATTAAAAAAACAAAAAACACCCATTAAAATTCCTTTTATAGGACCCAAAACATGTATTTAAAACCTTAAACATGTTGTATAATTTAAGATGTTGTTTGGCATCACAATTTAACCATATTTTTAAAAATATTTTATGTTTTTTTTGCTTTAAATTATATTTTTTGTGTTTTTTTATTTTTTAACTGCTGCATTCTCTTCTTCTTTCGTGAGTGAAGAAAATCATTGAAGAATCCCGTGATTAAATCAGTTTCTGGCCACGAGATTGTGGTCGCCAGAGGCTGTTGATGCGACGGAACGAGTTATGGCTAAAAAAGAAAGAAAAGAATTGGACACAAGCAGATTAATCCTACAAATTTGATGGAATATTGGTGAAATAAAGAAGGGAAATATACAGTAAAAGAATCAATTGTTATTAGAGAGTCGGTATCATGACATCTCGATAGAAAATCGGGCATTAAAAATCTTGATGAAATCTAAGCTTGGAGCTTGTGTTGGATGACAATTAAAGAAGGCATGGAGCATTTGCAAAATTATGAGGTCTTGGAAATCTCTTTCTTGTGTCCCTTCCATGGCTTCACACCTGTATGTCCCTTGATTCAGCAAACATGGCCTAGAGAGTACTGTCACTGTTCTCATCTGTTATTCGCAGTTTCTAGGTGTTTGGAGAATGATTTTGGTTAATTTTTAAAGTTGTTTTTATTTATAAATGTATTAAAATATTTTTTTATTTTTTAAAAAGTTATTTTTAATATTAAATTTTCAAAATAATTTAAAAATTAAAAAATATTAATTTAAAATTAAAAAATTATAAATTTTTTAAAAAATATCAAGGGAATTTCAGCAAACGTTTCTAGCTATGCTAAGATTGCTTTTTTCTTTTTTATATATATTAATTTTTTTAAAATATTTTTCATTTAAAAATACATTAAAATAATATTATTTTATTTCTTAAAAATTATTTCTAACATCAGTGCATCAAAATGATTTAAAAATACTAAAAAAATATTAATTTAAAAAAATAAAAATTAATATTTTTTTTTCAAAAATATTTTTAAAACATAAAAACAAATAAATTTTTATATATTGGTGTCAAAATCACTGAATTTGTTATCTTATTACAACCAAGTGGTTTTCATCCATATTATACCAAGACACAATATAAACTCTCCATTTTGGATAAAAAGGCTATAATTATTCTTTTGTGATTTATGTATTCTTATATGCTGAATTTAAAATCATTTGTGTACGTAAAGAGTTATGATCCCTTTTTAAAAAAAAATCTAAATATTGTAAAAAAGGTATCATATTTATGTTAAACTAAGTTTCTAGAGAAAAAAAATAAAATTGAAAATGAAGAAAAACATGAACAAGAGTGAATCGCCAATTCATCCAACCAAGGGTCCAAGCTTTGATGTCGAACAGTATATATATAAAGGAGTGAAAGTAAATTAAGAGGAATGATATTAATCGATAGTTATATATCACAAGATAAATTATTGATCAGATACATTTTCTATTACAACAGCTTGACCATCTTCATATCTTTCTCCACTGATAATTTATTTGAGATGATATATGCTACCATTTACGTCATTGTTTCATAGAACATGCGATATGGAACAACATCACTCAATCTTCATAGTTCACACACACTCCTACATATGCAAATATACCCATGCAAATAGTTCACACACACTCCTACATATGCAAATATACCCATGCAAATAATTGATTATGAGGCATATTATATATAGATATAGTTGCTAATTTGATTTAGCAAGAACATATAGTTATAATTAGCAACTAGGGTAGGGAACACCACAGGCACTAGCAACCTTTCTAGAACCAGGAGAGGAGACAAACTGCTTGAGGGAGGGATCCTTGAGATATCCACAAAGACAAGGCTTCTGCTCCTTCAATTTGCTGCAGCAGGCAGTTGATGGTGGTGAAGAGGACGTGATTGCTGGGAGGCATGGGCTCAACTGCCCTGGGTTGCAGGTCACCGCTTGTGACACTTTAGGTTCAGCTAATAACATTACCACCACCACCACCATAGTTATGAGGAGAGACGCCTTCTTCATCTTCAGTAATTTTGTTATTGCTATTTTTTCTTTTCTTTTCTTTCAATGTCCAAGAAATGATGCATCAGGGCAGGAGTCTGTCCAAGAATTTATAGAGGGGCGATGTACATGTCACATTTGTATGAATATTCAACAATTCTTGGGTATAATACATGAATATGAAATTGTCTATCATGTAAGTAGACTATTCAAACTTTTGTCCTGTGTTGGTTATTGTCGCATTCCTCACTAAAGACCTTAATTCTGGCACATTTTGCGGGTTCCAAATTCTCGATCTTTTCTTTCTTTCTTTCTAGTCCAGGAATATATAGCTAGAGCGATTGACAAATTGTCCCTTGGAAAATTAGGCAGTGCAGTTCTCTAATGTCGTTCATGCATCAGGACAAGAAGTAAAGAGACTCAATAAAATACAGTGTTGTGTTATGTAACCGAGCCTATCGTTCTAGGATCTCGCTCAACAAGGTGTTTTTATTTTTAGCTTATTTCAGTGGTGGTCGTTCTTACAGAGATACAACCATGTAGTGTTATTTAGTCACCGAGCTAACAAGAGTCAAGATGGCCGAGTTGGTCTAAGGCGCCAGTTTCAGGTACTGGTCCGAAAGGGCATGGGTTCGAATCCCATTCTTGACACACCCTTTTTTGTTGCACTCTCGAGTATTTATACCACGCGATTGCTCACCTCTCAGGTTTCAATTCAAGATTGATTTTTTCTTATTATTACTATTATTATAAGAATTAAAAATGAATTTAAAGATTAAAAGAAAAAAGAAATTATATCTTCAACTATGGAAATCCGTTGCCGTTTGGCTTGAGAGTCGAGACAATGTGTTCTACACCGCAGGATAGATCTTTTTCCCCGTGAACTGAAGTGGAAAAGCAGAATCGCCAGATACATGAACCTACCTAGTTATTACACGATTTCCTTCTCTTTTAACAGCCAATATTAGACATCTCCTTCCCTTCTTTTTTTTTTCAAAATGTAAGTGAAATAGATAATAATAACAATAATAAAGCTCTGTCAGATGTTGATAGTACACAATTTATCTTAAATTGACAACAAAAAAAAATGAAGATTAATGTTGTAGAGAGTCAGCGTCAGGCAGTTGAAGGGCGGTGACCGACGGGTGATTTTCGAAGCCAAGTACCCTTTATGTTGGGAAATGTTGAACTTTCACCTTCATTTGCTATTTAGTTGACCTCCATTAATGCAGGGGAAAGAGACATATTTTTCTATTTTAATTTGCTTCTGAAAAGAAAAAAAAAAAACATTGAACTAAGCCTGGGGTTATATATTATTTGTTTTTTATGCACGCTGCAATTACAAATTTAGTGTTGAAATAATAATTCTATGGCTTTTGACACAGGAGTGTTTTTTTTCCTTTTATTTTTTAAAAATAGTATAATTATTTTGATATTTTAGAAATAAAAATAATGCAACTCTCATAATTTTTTATTTATTTTATTTCGGTTTTGTTGTAAATTTAGAAATTAAATAAAGGTATTATTATAATGTTCACATATTAAATATTATTTTAAAAAACCATCATATAAATAGTTCTTATATCTTTCAAGCGGGAGTGTGAGACAATTCAGTCAATAATTGCCGCTTTCTAATGTATCTAACGCATCATTAGTTTAAAATTTTAAAACAACTCTTGCAATTGTTTTTTTCTTCATATTTGATCCTTATGCTTATAATCACTATTGTTTTAATAAGTTCTAAATTTATAAATGATTTTTAATTTCAACCCCTATTAATTTTTAATCTATGAATAATTTTTTAAATTATAAATATCCTTTTTTTAAATATATGAATAATCAATCAAATTACAAATTTTTTCAATTTCACCTCTATAATTTTTTTAATCTTTCAACTTTGATTTTTATTTTTTTAATTACTATTTTTTTATTTGACATCATTTTTAAAATGTTTTTTTTTTCAAATTTCATTCTCCTTTCAGTTTTTTCCTATCAAATTTCATTCTTATTCCTTTTGTTGCATTTGTTTTTGTTTTTACAAGTCTTTTTTTATTGATATTTTTTAACCAACTTCATACTTCAAAATCATGTTGGTTGAGAATTGAGTTTTTTTATTGAACTTGGATCTCTATATCAGATTTAGAAGGTTTATATCATGTTTGCTTATTTTTTTTCATTTGCTTAAACTATTTTATTTTTATTTTCATAGTTAAATATTTATTCAATTAGAGACTATGTCCCGTTCTTTTTATTCATTTGCTTTGTGTAGAATTTTTTGCTGGTCTTAAAAATAATTTGGTTATCTCAAGTTTTATTATTTGTCTTTCTTTGTTGGTTTTCTTTCTAATTCCTTAAGTTGATTTTTCATTCCCAATTCTATTTTTTAATATTTTTTAAAATATTTTATGAATTTATAATTGTTTTTCAATTTCACTACCCTTTAATTTTTTTTAATCTTTCAAATTTAGTTTAAATTTTTTTATTTGAGGCTCTATTATTTTTATTTATTTGCTTTTTGTAAGATTTTTTTACTGATTTTGAAAATAACTTGGTTTTTCTCAGGTTTTTTTATTTTTTGTTCTTGTTTGGATTTACTTTTTCTAATCAATGTTAAATTGGTTTGGAATTGATCTTATTGATTCAGTTTAAGTCTAAGATTTAATAGGTTGCAAGTTTGAGACCTTAACTTAGGTTTAGAAAGTTCGCTCAAATTTGCTTGGTTTCCTTTTTCTTTTCATTTTTTAAGATATTTTTTTTAATTTTATCATTCAGTATTTATATAATTAATGATTAGATTTTGTTTTTTCTTTATCTACATTTTATGTGATTTTTAATGAGTTTTCAAAATGACCCAAGTTTTCTTGGGTATTTTTATTTATCGTTTTTTAGTTGAATTTACTTTGATAAGTTTTCTAAATTGATATTTTTTATACTTTGTCTTTTAGCAGTAAGTTGTTCTGGAATTTAGTTGTATGGCATTTTCTAAGTTCCTTTATATTCGATTGTCTCATTCGCATAATCTAGATCACAAAGTTTAGTTTTCTTGGGTTTTTTTTATTTAATTTACCATTCTAATTTCATTCTTTAATGTTAGATTTGTTTGAAATTCAACTTTAAATTATTTTATTTTATTTTTTTCTATTTATTTATCATTATATCATAACTTGACTTGCATCTTTCACATGCTCAATCAAGTTAATCCAAGATTTTGTTTTCACGATAACGTCTACACCCTGAGTTGCATGTTTTAAAAAAAATTTTGAAATATATTTATGTCACTTGATTATTTTTTTTATTGATAAAAAAAAAGTATTATTGCTAGTGAAAAAGTAAAATTTTTAATGTTTATTTTCATTCTAGCAAATAGGTACTTAAATAAGAAAGGAGTTTTGATTGATATCAAAACAGAGGGTAGAAAAATGACCTTATCACAAACATTTATATTTAACAAAAACAAAAACTTAAATTAAAGGTTTGATAAATGTAATGATAATTTTTCTAATAAAAATATTTTTTTAACAAACAAAACACAATTTTTTTTCTTTTCAATTTCAAGAAAATTTTCTTTTTTGTTTTTTTTGTTAATGGTAGAGCATCTTTAAGGTTGCTTGTACATGTATAGATTAAGTCTCTCAATTGGGTTTTGGTCATCTATTAAGGTTAGTGCATCTTTGAGAAAAGGAAATTCTACTTTTTTAAATTCAAACTTAAAATGGTAATTGATGGATTATTGCATTTCATACTTAAATTCATTTTTTTTAAGCCAATGACTAAAAGGTCTAAGAGAAAAAAAAATATAATATAAAGGTTTAACAAAAATCAAAACCTATGAAAAAAGCTCTAATAAAATGTCAGATTTTTGACTACGTATATGTGGGTCTGACAAGATATCAAACTTAATATCTTTATTTCTAGAATTACTTTGGATCTAAGCAACCAACATGAAAATCTAGGATCATTATTTCTCTACATCCTAGCTGTGTAAAACAAATCATCTTAAAGTTGTCCACATGTCAATCAGTATTAATTTTGATTATAAAAATTGATTTCATCAATATTAATATCATATGCAGTCGTCTTCTATAGGCACATGGTACCCCATCAACATTAATGTCATATAAGGAGATATTTACATCAACATTAATGTTGATGCAAATGTTTCCCTGTCCACTTGGATGTGAAGAAAGAAGACATGCAATCCCTTAAATAAGAGAAAGAAAGTTAAAGATACAAATGTTACAAATACTCTCTAAACAATCCACATAAAAGGTTAACAATTTTTACTTTTTTATAATATATTCTTAGCATTTATCATCTATAAACTAAAAAAAAACATTCTTACTCTTAGAATTTATTGCTCATTTACTATAATTTTTTATTAAAAAATTATTGAATTAATCATTAGAAAGTTCTTAAATCCCAAAAAAAAAATCACAAGAATTTAGACCTTTATAACTAACCCTTCATTATTCAAAAACTCAAAAACTTATGTTCCTAATATTATGGATTCTAAAGCATCATTATAGCATATACATTGAATAAGGTTAGCATCTAAACCAATACCTCAAGAATCAAGTTGCAATAAATTGTAATCTCGAGAGGTGTGGCTCAACTGGTTAGATTTTAAATTTATTTTCTAGAGGTCGTCAATTCAAATGTCACAAATCTTAAGGCTATTAGCAACTTATATGGTTGTTAATTTTAGAATCTCGAAAAATTAGTTAAATTATATTTAAATTGATTTTGATATTTACAATTAAAAAAAAATTGAAACAAATTTTTCCACTACTGAGAGCTTGAAACAAAGAAATTTGTATTGAAACAAAGAAATTTGTATTCATGTACTTAGTTTTTTTCTCTAAATTGTCAAACAAAAGGGTTTAAAAAAAAAAAAGACCAAGGAGAAAACCAAGGAATCATTTGGTTTGTAGTATGGCATCGGCCCAAGACGCTTAGATTAAAATTATCTAATTTGAATGTTGCATTAAAAATAAAATTAGCACTTTCTTGTCTTAAACTTAGTGTTATTAAACCATGTTTAGCCTAACAGATCAACTACATACCTATTCAAAGTATGGTTTTAAAACAATTATTTGAAAATTGATCATATATAATTTAATAAAAAATTCAAGTTGATCAGGTATGATGAGTTTAAAAATTTGTTGATTTTGTTTTTGTAAATCAAATTAATTAACTTGTCCAATCACCCAAATTTTGTCGTGGGTTGGGTCGGTTTAATAACTATGTCTAAGCGCCTCTCCTGTTGATCCTCAGGAAGTCTGACGATATAAAAGGGCTACTAATATTTGTAATAAATTAGTTCATTGCCCATAAAGTAACTACTTATTCTTATCTAAATAAAACGAAAAGCTAATTATTGAAAACAAATCATCATTATGATTCATGTTAAGGACAGGAAGGAAAAGAATGGCAAAGTGGGGGTTTTTAATTTTATTTCTTTCTTTCACCACACAATCATCTTCTTCAATCAAAATGCTAACCCTCTTGCTTAATTTTTGGGGAAGTCTTAGAATACTAAAAATGGCAGAAGGCTCTCTCTTTATTATAATGTACTACTCTTAACAAGAAAAGATCATTTTCTAATAGAATTCATGACTGGCCAAAAACTAGAACGCCTGTCAAAGACGACATTTTTCCAAGGAAGGGTACAATTCAATTTATTCACTAGGCATATAACATAGCAGGAAGTAGAAATATTGGTGACTAAAAAATATTATGGATTATTTTCTTCCTTTCTGCAGCTACTGGTTGTAGAAACATTCACACATCAATTGCAATCTACCCTTCATCCTGTTTCACCTATACAACGTAAATTCCTTGAAAAGAAGTAAAAAATTGTACGTTGAAAAGGTCACCCACCTCAAAACCTCGTATATTGGGGAATAAAATCAAAGACCTCGTGCGGGAGATGGAAAACAAGGGCACCCGCAACGCACCATCCCATGGGTTCACGTAATTTATTGGCTAGGGTTTGTTTCATCTAGGCCCTTTGTTTTACCTCTAAGCATTTCCGAGAAATTACCTCTCATGATACGCCTGAATCTTGTGTCTTCCGCTTGAAGGGGTGGCAAAGCCTTCGGAGAGTCAGGCTGCGGTGATACAGGCTCCGAAGCTTCTTTCTTCCCTAACAGCCCACTGTCTCCAAAGAAACTACTGACTGATGATGCTAGCCCAAGATGAGAACCCATCGCTTTACTAAGAGCATCTAAAGCTCCACCAGATCTTTCCTTCATTATTATCTCTAGGGCTTCTTTGTGAGCTGGATCTAACGCATCCGAGTCTTTTAACAGGTTTTGTATTGCAGGAAGGAGAAATTCCCTTACACTATTTGCAGAAAGATCTGGAACAAACAAATGAGATTAAACATTTAACACTGACGCAAACTTATTTAATGTGCTAATAGCATTCCAGAAGAGAAAGATAATTTATACACATCAGATATAGATGCATCCAAATCATACTGAGTCGACAAAAGGCCCATCCATTAACTAGCTGAGGGTAGCAAAAACCAGTAAAATAATCAGACTGTGTAATGAGTGCTTATGAAAACACTAATGGTATTTTAGTCAGAGATTGACTTTGCTAGTTTAGAAGTCACTGGTTATAGTAAACATGAACTTGGGACGGAGAAAAAAATAGTGGACACTGAAGGTGAATAGACAAACCTGTAGCATCCAGGGCACGGATTGATTCACAGAATGCGTTAGCTCTCTCACGGCGACGCGTCACATCACTTACAGAAGCTGGCAACGCTGTAAACTGAAATATCTTGGAAAGGAGATGTTTGGAATGTCAAAGAAACAAGTGGCATAAGTTAACAACATGTTCATTTAACGTTGGGAGCTAATAGATGCTGGTAAATTGGTGAAAACACAAAAATAATCTCAGCTTGCTGAATAAATATATTTAAACTTAAATTTTTATCTTCTGATGAAGGTTGAGGATATAATCTCTAAGTTTGTCTGTTGTATGTGGTACTGCCACCAATAAAGCACGGACCACAGCAATAGTAGCTTCATGGGATCCATCTTCAAGAAACGCATCCATTTGGACACGTATCTTGTCAACAATCTGAAAGATGGCAAATAGTTAACTTACAAAACTTTCTCCTTCAAGATTACTAAAATCACTTGATGGAAAAGGAAAAACACACACACATACCATGTCATTTTTGAAATGCTGTGCAACAGCACCAAATGCTTCTATGCTGGCATACTTAACATTCAGGTTTGGGTCAGAGCCAAGAGTGATCAGCGCGGGCAAAACGTGAGTGGAAGCAACTTTCGCATCAATATATGGCATCTATTAAATGAATGGGAAAAAAATGTTTAAAACTAGGCTTGGGGTAGCAGGAAATGATGATTACAGAGGAACATGCAACTTACAATGGCTTTCAAAAGGTTGGCAGCATTGATTTTCATATCTATGTTGGAGCTGACAACCATTTCCCATAAAATATCGAAAATGATACTGTGGTGCTTCTCAAATGTGCTGCATCATGAAGAAACTGGTATTTATCACTCAAAATTGAAAATGAAGGTAAGTGATACAGTATTACACATAATGGTCTCCGAAGTACAAACCAAAGAAACCGAACAGCATCAATAATCTCAACAGTGTGCTTTGTTGACCGACTCTCTTTCAGGGTGCCATCAACTAGCAGCCCTCTCAAGTAGTTTGCTAACTGTTCATGCTGGCTGGGGGCACCTAAAACACCAGCCAAAAGCAGTGGCAACACGCACATAGTAGCAAGCCTCTCAGCAACAGCAGTTCTTGGCCTCAAACCTGCAATAAAGCAGAAATTAATAAAATACAATAATATGAAAGGAATTCACTGAAATTTATTATCACACCTTTTATTCTTGGATGGTTGACAGAAGGGAAAAATGACAAATCAGCATTATCTCCAACCGATACCAAGAATATGGGCAGCATTATGTGTACCAGATAAGAATCCCCAAAGTATTCACTTACAGCCAGCAAAAACTGCAAACCATTTTAGTTAGAAACAACAGGAAGCACTATAATTAACATCCAAGCACCAAAAAGTCAAGAAGACTTAATGAATTAATTCCAAGCAGGAAAAAGCTACCTTTGTAGTTCTAATTCTTAAACTATCTTCTTTCTGAGGTAACATGCAGGTGAGCTGTATCAGATCAGGAAAGCAATCGACATGCATCCAATCAAATGCTGGCCATTCAGCATGTTCCCTAGTATGACAGTAAAATATCTTCAAAGTGATTATGACCATAACTAGGCTCAGTATTATTAGAAGCTACCTTTACCAGGAAATAAACCAAAAACAATTATGAAAATTAAATGAAAAGAAAGAATAGAAGAAGAAGAAGAAGAAGAAGAAGAAGAAGAAGAAGAAGAAGAAGAAGAAGAAGAAGAAGAAGAAGAAGAAGAAGAAGAAGAAGAAGAAGAAGAAGAAGAAGAAGAAGAAGAAGAAGAAGAAGAAGAAGAAGAAGAAGAAGAAGAAGAAGAAGAAGAAGACCAGAGCTTACCTTGCATACGTTTCAAGCAAGGAGGTAGAGAACATCATGTCCCTTGACTCTGGCGCTGAAGATAAAGGACAAGTCTCAACTGCTTTCTGGTGCACAGAGGAAAGCAATTCCACCAGCATTCTTAATAAAACATCAATATTCCAGCGCTCATGTTCCCCTAAAACATGTAGATGTGATTCCATAGAGCCTTCAACCCCCGAGAGAGGAGGACAATGCTGAAAATAGCAGAGAGAAAAATTGAGAAATGTACCAAAAACAACAGAAGAACATCAAGAAGAAAATAACTGCTAGAAACAACCAAACCTGAGCAGAGCTCAAGATGTGGGAAAGCAGAACTCTTAAAATGTGTTCTAGTCTGTTTCCCCACTTTATAACTGCAGGAAGCAGTTCTTTCAATGCAGTATCCACCACCACTCCAGAGGGATCACATACCAATTGGAACATCAACTCCTCTACCTATCATCAAACAACATGAGACACTGAAAAAACTAAATGTTTCAATTTGTTTTACTTCAATATTTTCATTTTCTTCTCAGACATCATATTGTGGCGAGGAAAAGGCTCCATTGCCTAGACCATGTGCCATCAGCCTGTTCTAGAGCTTACATTGTAGCCAATTCGGTCAAATCAGAATTCTTCTCCATGATTGCCCCGAAGCTTATTTAGTGAGGCTGACCTTGAAATATTTGTCCACATTTGGGAATAGTGGAAGTAGCAAAGCCAAATTATGAGCAGCAGCTTCTCGTACAACAGTTGCAGAATCTTCTATCAGCTGTTGCACAATGGACAAAATTAGAGAATCACGAATCTCAGGGCGGACGAATTCTGCAAGCTCTCCACAAGATTGAGCCACAAGCAACCTACGCTCCTCATACATATGGTTTATCTGCAATTCATGTAAAATTGATCCTTATAAAGGGGGGACAGAAAAGAAATGAAAGATGAAAAGACATTTATGGCAAAATTGGAAATTCCCTGCAAAACATCACTGAACTCACTTGTTCCCAACACTGGGGAAGCAATTCCGTTTCTGTTCTCATTTCCCCTACATTCTTAGCAAGACTAACGCATGCCTGAAACAAACCTCAAAAGGCTCAGCATCATCTTCAAATTAGATATACATGCTACAAAAGCTTAAAACTTCAACTTCAAGGAATTTGTTATGATAAAATTATGACCCTACATCCATTATAATTCGTCTCTGCTGCTCATCCGGACGTTTTATCAAATTAAACAGTGTGTGGGTCAAGGAGTCTCGTGTGCCACTATCTGGATGACACTCAATTGCACACATCATTAGGGGAAGAAGCTCCTGAGCAAATAAAACCAAGACAGTATATGAAAAAAAACTTCTCCACAGAGCTCAGAGTAAGATGAAGAACAAATAAGTCCAAAGAGTACCTCTCGGTGATTGATCAAAACATAAGGAACAATCTTGGGCAAAGCATCAGCAAGGATCTCAATCGTTCGTAGGCCCTGCAAAGTAATTATATATTTCAGATATAGCATATAAATAAATTACTTCTAAAGAAAAGCATAGAAAAGAAAACCAGGGAAATTGTTTTTTGGGTGGTGAGGGAGGTTGGTTTATCTAAGAAATTATGATATTAAAAAGGAAACCCCATTAGGTTCAGGATAATTCATAGGCCGGAAGGTCTACATCTTATACAAGAGGTGCCACCCAATTTAAAGTGAAAGAGAAAATCAACACATGGGAGAGAGTATAATGTCTGATAGGAAGAAGATGAACTTGCCATATTCTCAGAAGCAGCTTTATCACCCAAGTTGTCAGATTCTAGTTGTAACCTACCATCTTCTGATGGTGCTTCACCATTTTGTTTGGTGACCAATACACTGTTATCAACAAGGGCATTTTCATCTGAACAACTGTTCAATAAATCTTCCATAACTTCCTCAGGTTTATTGGTTTCATTGATAGACAGTGGTAGAACATCTCCATTGCCCAAAACTCCTGCCACATCAACTGGGTGGGAGACTGTAGTTTTATCTTCATCTATTTCAACCACTTTCTCTTCAGCCTGACAAGTCTCTTTCTCAGAAGTGGAGTTATCTATGGATTCGGATGCATATGCTCCCTTTGCCTTCAATCCTGCTATTTCCATCTGCAATGACTTTATTTCTTCCTTGTACTTTTCCAAGGACTGGGATTGAACAGCATCAACATCACTAGCTAACACGTTCATTCCAGAACGGGATCCTTCAATGTGCATTTTTAATGAAGTGATTTCAGATCTGCAATCATTGATTTCCTTTCTTTGGCGCTCCCATGATTGCTTCAACTCTTGTATCTGAAAAAAGAGAGGGAGAGAGAAACTTAAAACACACACACACACCCAACCACACATGACAATAATGTTTTCCTTGCATGAAAATTACTTGGCTCTCCCTGTCCTTGAGATCCTTTTGCATGGCTTCTAAGGATTTAGTTAATCCACTAATTTGATTATCGGACAAATCTTTAGCTATCAGCAACTTCTCCTTTTCGTTATTCAGCCTTTCATTTGTTTTTAGTAATGACTCATTTTCTCGAAGCATAGCAATTTTCTCCTGCAACAAAAACAACAATGTCATTATTGTGCAGTTCAGAACATAAAATCCTACTTCGCAAAAAAGCACCAGAGCAAATTTGTTCCATAAGTTTTGTCCAAGATGTCTAATCTGAGATCTTCACATGAAAAAAGTGTAACATACAGAGAAAAGAATACAGTAACTTGTGTTTAAGTTTGATATGACTTTCAGGAACAAATTTGGATACAAGCAACAAATATAAAGATACAAGCCTACAACAGATCAGAATGCTAGCGGGTCTTGGACTATAGAGAATCATATGCATACTGAGTTTAGTGATCTAGAAATGACTTTCAGGAATGGTTCTTTTTACTACTTTAGCCATTTTTGCAGGCAGTGACTAAGCATCAGAAGAACCAAAGGAGTAGAGCATGATTCACACATTCAGGTCAGTAATCTTGTGAACTTATAGAGCTCTAAAGTAGAAATGATAATTTTTTTCATATTTTATTTCAGGTGGTCTTCCAGTAGCATTTCACATGATAAGAAAATGCATCACGAAAAGCAAAGCATTGGGAAAAAAAAAAAAAAAACTTATCATTTCATCAAGCCTAATGAAGCATCATCATTAAGGTAGCCATTAGCTTCATACATCGACATTTGTCAAAGATATCTTCAAGCATATGTAAACAATAAGTAGCTTATCCAACATGTACAAGAAGAAATACCTCGGCAGCCTCTGAAGTGGATGAAAGGTATTGATAATAATAATGGCGCAAGGCATCTGGGACACATGCAGGTGTATTCTGCCAAACATCTAAATTCTGATCTGTAACCTGAGGTGGAAAAAGTTGTCTGACTATAATAATATTTCAAAATAGCTGTACACATGCACCCACAACAAAGGGACACACATCCACCTGACTGCAGGTTGTATATTAGCTAAGAGCTACAAGCATTTCTATGCATGGATAAAAAAATTAAGGTATTGTTTTTCTGATGCAGCCTTCAACAGCAATGAACAGACGAAATGATATTACCCTGTCCAATATGAATTTTACCCCAGGTTCCTTTTTGTCCTTTCAAACTAACTTTCACATGCCAAACTTCAAGGATCTCCCAACACTGGACTACAATATATGAAATCAATTCAAAGAGCAAGCAAACAGTGACGATGTAGATTGATCAAGCAGGCTAATCCAAGTAACAGTCAGTATGCCAGATGTTTGTTTTCAAAGCTACCTTAATACCTAAGCCTACATCATCTTATTCATTCTAAGTTTGCCAAATGCACTAAGGTACTTATCAAAATAAACTTTACATGTCTCAAGACTATTTTTTTAATCCTTATAAGTTCGCATTATGTTTCACCCCCTTGGATCAGCAGGACAGTAAACGATTGCTGCTGCAACAATAAATTCAATTCAAGGCTTTTATAATGATTTGTGCGCTTCTATCAGCAGAATAGCCTACAAATTCTAATGCAGTCCCCTACAATCAATTGTTTCTGTCTGATGATGAATCAAATAGAACATAGCATAAAACGATCATAAAATAATTTAGAAGGAAAAAGCTTGTATACAGCAACAGAAAAGACTAAACACTGTATTAAATGTCTTACATAATACATACTTCTTCATAAAATGTCATTGCAGCAAGCCGGTACCCTGCTAAAAGTAAATATTCCTTTACAGCACAGTTAAGATCTCTACGCTCATTATCTTTCAAAGGGCCCAAGTCAGAGAGTGAAGCATTCTTCTTTTGTCGCACAATGTCTGGTCCCGGATTAACAGAAAAATTTGACTTCGACTCTGGAAATTCATCCAAGATGAAATATTTATAAAATGACAAAAGAAGTGGCTAAGCAATGAACATTTTTATGCATGGTAAGTCCCGTAATGCAGCAATATTTACAGTTACATAGGTGATTCCAGACAGGACAACAATTTTACATAATAAATGAAGGCCAAGAGGAAGAAGAGGATGGCCGATTAATCAAAAGATAGTGCAATAAAACAACATATACGAAAATGCCTCGTACAAAAAAAAGTGAGAGATTACTATCGAGCAGATGGTTTACCACTCAATTCAGCCAGTGACAAATCTGATTTCTTCTGTAAGTCAGTCTTCAACTTAGAAATATCCTCTTGTGCTAAACGAAGCTCGTAAGCAGTAAGTGCTAATTTTTCTTCCATAGCTTCTTTCTCTTCTAACAAACTCTGAGGATCTGCAACTGCTTTTCAACAACAAAGGGGGCAGAAAAGAACATTGCTTACATTCTGTGTTCAATATACCATCAATAAAAAATGCAGTAACTCATTGCTGAATAACTCAATCCTAATACTATCTACATGCATTCTACACATTTCTCAAATTATCGAGAAAATAACGCAATAATCATTCATTTCTTTACACTATCATATACTAAACATTACCTTATTAATTTTTTCATTCAAATCCAAATCGGAAAAAAAATCAACAAAAATTTATCAAAATCAGTAACTAACAAGATAAGAGAAGAGTGGGAGAAAACCTCGAAGAGAGTTGAAGCGAGAGATCTGATCAGGAGGGAAGTGAGAAGGGTCAGAGAAGAATTCTTTGAGACGAATAGCGTGATCATCTCTTCCATCATCTAGTAATTCTTGTAACAATTCAAATGCTGTTAATATGTATTTCTCTTCTAACAAGAAATTCACCACGCAATTGCACAGCGACGATCTCTCCACTTCCATTTCTTTTCTTTTCGATTTAATTTAATTTAATTTAATTTTTAATTTCTTTTTTTTTTAATAAAAGATTGAGACTACTCCATTTGATCGAGATCTGTTACGACAGGGGAGGGACTCCTTGTTTTTGGAAGAGATAGAGAGGGAAGGGGAGGGGTGATACAGTGCTTCGCGCGTGGTTTGGAGCTTTGGGTTTTGAGGTGTTGATTTTGATGACTTGGGAGTTGGGAGATTGAGAGGATGGTTTGGATCTGTTTGGGTCGGTTGTGTGTGTGTGTGTGCGCATGAATGAGAGGATGGTTTGGATCTGTTTGGGTCCGTTGTGTGTGTGTGTGTGTGCTGTGCATGGAAGCTGAGTCACCGACTGGAAAGTCAACGGTGAAGTCTTCTTCTGTGATTCGTTACGCTGATGACACCCAATGGGGATGCAATAAAAAGTAAAGTTTTTCTTTTTTTTTAATTGTAAAGTTGCTTTTGGATTCGCTTACAACTTTATTGAGGTTAAATTCTTTTTCGAACGATCTTAAAATCGCACATTTTATATTAATCTGTGCATTGAAATAGTATTTTTAATTAGTACATCACCTCTTTGAAATTAACACAAGAAATTATTTATTAAAGTTATTTATGGAGTCAGGGGCGGAACTAGGGGTGGCAAGCAGGGGCCGGGCCCCTGCAAAACATGTTAAATTTTTTTTTTATATTTTTAATTTATATAAATAAATTTTTTAATAATATATATATTATTATATTAGTTTTGGCCTCTCCTGTAAAATGAACGTAGCTCCGCCACTGTATGGAGTGATGTACAATAAAATATATTAACAAATTGTAATTTCATAAATAAATTTTGATTTTTATTGTGTGTATGCAATCTATTTGTGTTATTTTATGTTATTTTTTTATTATTATTATTGATTTATTTTTTCAAATCTTAAATGTATTATTTATCTTGTTATTTGTGTGACAAGTCGTTACTGGGCATGATTAAGGCATTGCACAGCTGATGAATTTTAGTTAATTTGATAAAATAAAAGTATGAAGGATTTTGAAGGTTGGGATGAGAAGTATGATGTTGGTTTGGTTTAACTGAATTTATTTAGAAAGATCATTTTTCTAAACTCCATACCTCATACCTTAAAGAGAATATATTTTTTAACATTAGAGATATATTATATATATAAATTCATAATTTTTAATAAAAAATAAACAAATTAGTTTTTTTAGTGTTTCTAAGATTTAATTCAAATACTCATGCTTTTAAAAAACTTGTTATTATTCATACGATGTGCACTTTCTGTATAAGTTTGGCATCCTAAATATTAAATATAATGAACTCAAATCTTGTTAATTTCATGAACTTCATTCAAATTAGATACTAATTTAAAACAATTAACACAAATTCAAGTATAATCCATGAATCAATAATTGATATTCAAATTAACATAAACTTGAGCGCAATCCGTTAACCAACATTTGATGTTCAATTAGCAATCACTATATTAAAAATAAACTCACAATCCAACATAAATTATCAAATCATCTTAAATAAAAAACACATATCAATTCAAATCAATAATGTCAAAACAATCCAAAAATTATACACAACAATGAGCATTTTTCCTGAAATTTCACAACATTTTAACAATTTATCAAAAGGTGATTTGAGGTTATGGGTCAACCTTTCGAGATTATTTATATGTCTAGATCTATTTGAATCAAGTTGAAATGATTGCTAGAATAGTAACAGTGCATGTAACCACACATTGCTGCTATTGTTGACTCGTTGTTTCACATGTTGCTGCTGCTTCTAGAAAAGAGTGAGATGGTGGATTCAAAGCTCCTTCTAGATCGATGGTGAGACAAATAAATATTTGAAGATCTAGTCCTCTCTCACTTCTATTTTATACTTTGTATCTCTATTAGTTTTCACCACCATCAATTACTATAAGGAGGGAGGCAAGCATGATGGTTTGGAGATTGGTTGATAGCAGCCAACAATTTTTTTAAAAAGATTTTGATGGTTGTTGTTGTTGTTAAAAAGAACAACATTGATAAAGGTTTGGACTTTGGAATTTCTTCTCCCTAGCTACAATTTATGCTACTTTTTGTCATCATTTCTACTACTCTGGAGGGATGATTATTGAAAGTTATAAATAACATCGATTAGTTTATTAAGGTGGTATACGATGTAGGAGGTGGTCTTTGATGTATAGAGGCAGTGATAAGACAATGATTTTTTATTATAAAAAAACAAAGAGGTTATCCTTTTTCCTTTAAAAACACTCATCTTTTTATGTTTTTTCTAGAAAGTAAATGGGGTTACAATTTTATTTTGTTTAGAGAGAGATTGAGAATTTGTCTTCTTATTTTACAAGAGATTGAAGATGAACATGAAGATTAAATATTACTGGAAATAATGGAGAGAGATGAGGTTTTTTAATATATATGCTTGTAAGAGAAGAAGGATATGTGTTTTGTAGATGAGTGGAAAAATGTGAGAGACACCTCTCTTTTTTTTTTGTTTAGATTTTTAAGGGAGAGAGGGTCGCGAGGGTCTTAGTTTTTTGTGGCTTTTATTAGTTTATTTTTGATGATTTATAGGAGATTGAGTTTTTTGGTGTGTATAGGGGATGTTGATGTGTACGAAAAAGGACAAGGAAAAATGTTTTTGATGTGGGTTTTATTTTTTTATAGCTAATGCTTTCAACCCCTCCCTTTTTATGAGTGTATATATGCAACCGCTTGTTATATTATTTGGAAATAATGGAGAGAGATGAGGTTTTTAATATATATACTTGTAAGAAAAGAAGGATATGTGTTTTGCAGATGAGTGGAAAAATGTGAGAGACACCTTTTTTTTTTTTTTTTTAATTTTTAGGGGGGGGGGGGCGGGCGGGGGCGTGTTTT